TTGCAAGTGTATGGTGTAGGAGGTAGGTTACTGAAAGCAGTGAAGAGTTTTTACGAGGATAGTGAGGCTCAAGTTAGAGTATGTAGGAAAGAGGGAAATTATTTCCCAGTAAAAGTAGGCCTTAGACAAGGATGTGTGATGTCACCGTGGTTGTTTAATATATTTATAGATGGGGTTGTAAGAGAAGTAAATGCGAGGGTCTTGATAAGAGGCGTGGAGTTAAAAGATAAAGAATCATACACAAAGTGGGAGTTGTCACAGCTGCTCTTTGCTGATGACACTGTGCTCTTGGGAGATTCTGAAGAGAAGTTGCAGAGATTGGTGGATGAATTTGGTTAGGGTGTGCAAAAGAAGAAAAATTAAAGGTGAATACAGGAAAGAGTAAGGTTATGAGGATAACAAAAAGATTAGGTGATGAAAGATTGAATATCAGATTGGAGGGAGAGAGTATGGAGGAGGTGAATGTTTTCAGATATTTGGGAGTGGACGTGTCAGCGGGATGGGTCTATAAAAGATGAGGTGAATCATAGAAAATTGTAAAAGGGAAAAAGAGTGGGGGTGAAACTTGGGAGCCCTGTGGAGACAAAAAAACTTTGCCCTTTGGAGGAAAAAAGGGGGGGAAGGTATGTGGATATATTTTTTCCAAACGTTCTTATATGGGTGTGAAGAGGGGGTGTTTGGAATGTTGCAGCGAGGAGAAGGCTGGGGGCCCATTTGGAGATGTCATGTTGGGGAAATTTGTGTGGTGTGAATAAAATTGCAGAAAAAATTGTTTTTTTGGGGAAATTTAGGGGGGAGGTGCGGGTTTTCCAAAAACCTGTTGTCCAGGGGGCCCTGAGGGAAGGGTTTTTGGGAGGTGGTTCGACATTTTGAGAGAAGGGAAACAAAAAACAGAAGGGTTTCCCCCCAAAGGATCAGTTTTTTGGGGAAAGGGGAAAGTGGGGTGGGGGTTGGCCCCTAGGAAAGGGTTTGGGGAGAGGGGGGTTTTTTTAAAGGAGGTTTTGTGTGCGGGGGGCCCTTGGATTCCAGCAGGCAAAGGTGAGCGGGGTTTGTTTGGAGTGAAGGAAAACAAAGGGTTTTTTTAATACTTGACTTTGCTTTTGGGAAAAGTGTGAGCAAAGTAACATTTATAAAGGGGGTTTTAGGGGAAACCGGCGGGGCCGGCTTGAGTCCTGGAGAGGGGGAAAGTACAGGGCCTGCACTCTGAAAAAGGGGGGTGTTTAATGTTGCAGTTTAAAAACTGTAGGGGTAAAGCCCCCTTTTCTGGAAAGGGACGTGATGGTGTAAATTGATGAGGGAATTTTTTTCTTTTGGGGCCACCCCTCCCCCTTGGGGGGGGTTTGGGCCCCAGTGTTTTAATTTAATAAAAAAAAAAATTCTTTGGTGCCATTTTAAAACATGAGGTATTGTATGTGCTTTGTGGGGGAATTTTGGTTCCCTAGTGTTCTTAACCCAAAAAAAGACCCCTCAGGGAAGGTTGTTGATCCCTGGTGAGGGGGGCTTTGATTTTATGAAATTGGTTCTGTGCTCCAGTTCCTAAATTTGAGCCTGAATCCCTTTGTTTTCCCCCCTCCCAGGCACTGTATAACCCCCTAAGGGTTTAGCACTTCCCCCTTAATTTTTTTTAATGAAACTAAAAGTTCTTTTTTAGACTTCGAAACGTGGTTTTTTTTGAAATTTAAAAATTCGCTTTTTTTATTGGGGTTTAGTTAAATTTTTTAAAGTTTTATTACAAAAATTTTTTTTTTCTCCCTTTCCCCTGGAAATAAAAGAAGCATTGCATTCCAAATTTATTTTTTAGCAACCCCCCAAAAGCTGCCCAGATGGTCCATAATACTGTTTTGTGTAATTTTAAACACCTTTTGCACCAGATCCCTGAAGCTAACCCACTGTAAACATTACTATGACTTAATTGTGGGAGTCGGGTTTTCCATGGCTCTTGGAAGTGGGAATGACTTCAGAAAAACCCTTGACTTAATAAAAATTTTTTCTTTTGGTATCAACATTAACACCTTTGAATATTTTATAAAGTACCAACTGCCTCTGCAATATTTGAAAAAACCCCATAAGGAACAAAAGTGCAGATAAAAAAAAAAAATCAAAATTTTTGTTTTTTTAAAATTTTATTTTAATGAGGTGGAATATATTATGTCCCAAAATAAAAAAACAAACACATGATTTTAACTAAATCTTTTTTAAAAGGGAAAAAATTCCCAGACCCTTGCTTTTTTTTAAAAAATTTTATATAATTTTTTACTTTTCCCTTGGTACAGGGGTTTTCTGGTCCCTAATTTTCATGCTTTTTATGTGAAAAACTTTAGCTACATAATATTGGGAACCTGGAAAGATAAAAATAGGGAAAAATTACCATTACCATAGTTTTTTTTTTATAAGTTTTTAAATTTTAATTTTGAGGGGTTGTTCAAAAAATGAGAGGTTCAGTTTTTTTCCCTTTTCTTCAGGTTTGAAAAAAAAATTTGGGGTTTTTTTTAAAACCTTGAGTTTTTTAAAAAAGCTAGTTGTTTGTCCCCTTGCTGTCTTAGAGAGAACCCTTTGGGTGTAAAAAAAATTTTAATGCAGCTTTAATTTTTTCAAATGATAAATTACACTTAAAAATAATTTTTTAAAAAACATCAAAAACTGTAGTTGTGGCCCCTCAGTGATGGGGTTTTTGATTCAAGGAATTGAACCTGCCCTTCCCTACCCTGGACTGAACCTGAAAAGCCTTCCCCTTCCCCGGAAAGTTTTTCCTCCATGGGTTTAGTGCTTCCCCCTGAATGTAATAATAATAAAATTAATGATGTAGCTTTTTTGGTTTATTATTGCTCAAAAAAATTTTATTTGGGCTAGTTGACAAAATTGTTCCTTTAAAAAAGAAGGGGTAAATTTTTCAAAAAGCAAATACTTTTAACTTTTATTACCAAAAAATTTTGCATATTTATGTATCTAAATTTGTACGAAAAAGCATAAAAAAAAAATTTTGAGAAATATAAACCCGATGGTTTCCCAAAATAATTTAAAATTCCCCGCTTTATGGGGATGGCAAAATTTCCCCGGTGGGAATAAAAATTTCCTTTTTTTTTTTCAAAGGCCTTACATTTAAATTTTTTCCCCCTTTAATTGGAGAAAAAAAGGAAAAAAGGGAAAGCAAATGTTGTAAAAAGTTTTTAAATTTTAAAACGATGTTTCTGACACTAGCTTCTGGGAGGGACTTGTAGCATGCATCATGCTTGTCTACAAAGCAAAATGTATATTACTTCATCTCTGGCTGAAAGGCCCATATTAGCTTTTGGGGGCATGTTCGTGAATTTTTATTAAACTATTAATGTCTGCGGGGAATCTTTTTTTAAAATAAAAAAGGGGTTTTCTGTTTATATACCTCTGACCCCTGCAAAAAGAGCATTTTGCCTTTGTTGGGGGTTGCACATTATAAAAATTTCTAGATCCTCTAAAAAATTTTGTTTGGCTTTGATGTTACCAAAGAATGTAATAAAAAGAATCTGCTTTATGACCCCTTTTAGGTGCAGTGATTTCCATGAATGTAAAGGGCAATAGTTGGAAAGAAATTTTTTAAAATTGTTAAAGTTGAAGAATTGAGACATTTTTGAAAAACTTGAGAATCTTTATTGAAAAAAGTTTCGCCACAAAAGGGGTTTATCGTCCAAAACAAAGTAGAAGTGGGTAAGGAGAGTAGAAGTTTGGGGTAATAAGGGCCCCCAACCGGAATTGATGTGTTTTTAGTCCAAAACACTCTTGTGGAAGTTTCGCATAGGGGGCCCGAGAGGTGGGTTTCTGCGGTTTGGGTGGTCTTGGCCCCATGCTGACTTCCCCACGGGGAGGGGCTGAACACATCGATTCCAGGTTTTAGGGACTTTATTACCTCAAACTTCTTCTTTCCCCACCCCCTTCTACTTTGTTTTTGGGGCTGAAGAAGCCACTGTGTGGCGAAATTTCTTCAATAAAAAATTCCCTGTGTTGCTAAGTGTCTCAATTTTTTCAACTTGTCGGTTTTCATAACCATTTATCACATTGTTAAAATAGTTTAGTGGGGACACTTTTTTTCAAAGTAAATTTAAGCCTTTTTTGTGAATTTATATAAAAATACTAGGGTTTACCAAATTTTCCCTTTTTTGGGTTTTCTGTATAATTTTTATATTCCCCAAAAAAATTTTCCCCAAATTTTGAATATAATAATGTGGGGGAATTAAACTTAGCAAAATTTTTAGGACAAGCATTCATCTAATTTTTTGTTTTTTCTTTTTTAGTAATTTAATGGGTAGAAAAATTTGCATCCCAAAAGAAATGACTATTTATTTCTATTTATTCAGTATAGGTGACCCCTTTGGTTTTCTTGAAATTTTTAAAATTGTTTTTTTGTGGGGTTTTTTAAAACTTGGAAATTTAAAAAAAGGGGCCCGGGTATTATCTTTTTTTTTTTTTTAAAGCCCTACATAAAAAAATTTTATAAGTATCGTTTTTCTTTTGAATGTGATTTCCTTTTTTGTTACTCCAAGTTAAATTTTAAAAAGGGGGAAAGTTTAAAAAAATGTGGTTAGGGGCTAGGGGTTTCCAAAAAAGAATTTTAGCGTATGTAACATTAACACAAAGTTTTTGAATTTCAAACCTTAGAATATTTTCCATGATTAAAAAGGTGTAGGGTTTTTTTTTTTAAAAAAATTTTATTTTTAAAAATTTTTGACCCATAAAATTTAGTTTTAAAGCGTAAATAAACCCCAAGCCGAGACTTAAAAATTTTTGCTGATTTTGGCCCGTCAATTTTGTACCGATTTGTGTATTTCACAGTGGAGCAATTTTTTACCAAATTTGGGTCGCTCCCTTAGTTCAGGCATTTTTGACACCCCCATACAGTATTTCTGAAAAATATTTTTTACCCGTTTACATTTTAATATTTTTAATTTTTGCCCCAACCCAAATTTTTTTAGTATGTATTAAAAAACTGTTTTTAAATGGGGTCTGATAAAAAAAATCTAAGTGCAAATTTTGCAATAACTGAAAATGATTAGAAAGTAAAATGGTTACTGGGTATGAATTTCAAATAGTATATGCATAAGTATATTAAAGATTTGGATGGAAAACCTTTTATTTTCTGGGTTTGGTTAGTATTTATGCTTACATAAAGAAAAGTGCAGTACTCTATTGTACAAGTTTTTAGTATTTTCTCTTTATGCTGCTATATTTTTTAAATACCATCCTCTTTCCTATTTAATTAAGTGAGCTAGTGTATAATTAATAAATGTTTCATGCATAAGGTTAAATTTTATCTGACCTTTATATCATTCCATTCACTGTCATAGACCAGCTTTTAATCTTTGTGTTCCACCAGGAATGTGTTAGAATTGGCACCAAAAAAATATGTTCTCCAGAGCATAGTTACTCTGGAGTAATCAAGGAGGGTCAAGTTTGAGGAGTAGTTTTATCAGATATATTGCAGAAATGTATTCCTGGGGTATGGATACACAGACATTATCAGCCATACATCCTACCAAACAGTCGAGAAATAGCTATTAAAGAATATTTGGAGCAGAGAATGTCTTTATTCCTCAACTCTTGTACATGTCACATAGGATCTTCTCCATGGGGGTGTTGCCGATGGTGGCAGTGAAGAATAGTGCCTGGACGCGGGGTGGAGGGGGTGACCTGAGAGAGGCAAGAAGCAGCAGAAGACGACCAAAACGTGCTGGTCGTGCTGGGTAGTGGGCCCTCACGTGCTGGCTTAGCATAACCTGTGCCTGGTCTGCAGCGACTCCACCTGTGCTGCATCCTTCAGCCCCCGCACTGCCAGCACATGATACGTCAGACAAGAATGCATCACATTTATCAGTCATGTCTAAGTCTAGGGTACATCATATGGTGTTAGTCATGTATTCTGAATTGAGGATACATCACATAGTCAAGAGTACATCTGATGATACGTATATCTCTTGGGTATCCCCAGTCAAGGGAAAAGTATATGGTAATGGAAGATTAGTGAAAAAAGCCACAACGTATGTAGTGAAGAAACAAATGATTATGTATGTGAGTAATACCAGAAAAGGCTGTCTGAAAGTGTAAATGGAAATGTAGTGTGCCATCTTGAACAATAAGATACAAGAGCAGTATGGAACACTGCAACAGTGATGTATTGTTTCCATCAGGAGCTCTTGCAAGGGTGAGATGCTATAATATTCCATACTGCTTTTGTGAGAGTTAAAGAGTTGAAATCCCAATGAATAAATTATTTATCTCTTAATAAATTTTACTCTGAATATAATCAATATTAAAGAGAATTTACAAAAAAAATATTAATAAATCATTGGCCACTTTATTTTTATTTAAGACAAGAGAGAGGAGCAAGATCAAAAGCTTTTGAAAGTGCATTACACTACAGCTTCCTGGTCTGTTGAAGGAAAATAATGTTAACTCAGAGTTATGCATTAAATTTTAATGTTGATCCAAGGAATTGGAGCTACCTTCTTCATCCTTGGACAAAACCTGATTGCTTCCCATTCCCAGTTTACTGTATGACCCATGCAGGTTTAGTGCTTCCCTATAAATATAATAATAATGTGACATGTCTCCATCTCTTCATCTCACCTGGTCTGAAGAGAACGATGGCCTTGAGGTAAGCGAACTCAGCAGGATCCACTGCCAGGTCTCTAAATGCTCCAGCTACCTCAGACAACTGGCGAATGTCGTGGGCGGCCTGAGCAGCTTTATGGGCGTGAGCAAGGGCGTGGGCATGAGCAGAGGGTGAGAGGAGAGGGCAGGTGGGCAGTGGGAGGGACCACTGGACAGCATTTAGTACAAAGAGTTCGGACCACACTTCCTCCAGTAGCACCACCTGTGGAACACATTATTATTATTATCATGGGAGAGCTAAACTCATAGGGATTATACACACAGAGAAAAGTGGGTTCATAAAGACTAGCAAACATAGATTTAGGGATGGAAAAATCTTGTCTTACTAACTTGTTGGAGTTGTATGATGAAGTAACGTAACAGATGTACGACAAGAGAGAGAGGGTTGGGTGAATTGCATGTTTTTAGACTGCAGAAAGGCGTATGATACTATACTGCATAAGAGGCTGGGCCAAAAATTTGAAATTTAGGTGGGAATAACAGAGTATTTTAGGGAAAGGAAGTAACGAGTCTGTCAGGAAAAATACATTAGAATGGGGAAGAGAAACTAGCTGCGTTCGGCAAGGAATTGGACCAGCAGAGATTGATTCAAATATATCCTTGTTTGCTGATGATGTAAAACTAATGAGATTAAAAACAAACGAGGACAATGAAAGGCTCCAAAGGGATCTGGACAAATTGCAAGTTGTCAGATAAGTGGCTGTTGGAATTCAACTCCAGTAAATGCAAGGTCATGAAGACTTGGGAAGGAGCAAGGAGATCGGAAATAGAGTATACACTAGGGAGAGATGCTGCAGACTTCACTCAAAGAGAAAGACCTAGGGGTGAGTATAGTGCCCAGTATAATGCCAGAGACGAATCAGCTGAGTAACTTCTGCAGCCAGTGCTCGTCTGGCTTCAGTAATCTCTACAGAGTCATTTCGGTCCCCTTATACAGCATACGATAAATCCATCTTGGATTAGGCAGCACCAGAATGGAACCCGCACCTGAACAAGCATGTAAAGAAACTGGAGAAAGTGAAGAAGTATGCAACATAGCTTGTCTTTGAGCTAAGGGGCTTAAACTACGAGGAGAGGCTAACGGAACTGGACCTAATGACATTAGAGGACAGAAGAACCAGAGAGGGACATGATAACATACAAAATACTCAGGGGATTGGATAAGGTAGACAGGGATAGACTGTTTGAGAGGTCAGAAACAGGAAATCAGGGACACCGCTGGAAGTTAAAGCCACAGATGTGCCGCAGGGATGCTAGGAAGTATTTCTTCAGTCTTAGAGTGGTTGAGAAGTGAAATGATCTTGGTTAGAAGGCGGTGGAGGCAGGCTCTATACATAAGAGTAAGAGCAGGTGCTAAGAGGGGTGCTAAGAACGAGGCTCAGAGGGAGAGAATCTGAAGGGTGGCGAATTAAGAGGCAGGGACAGGAGCTAAGAATCGACATCATAAATGAGAACACACACACACACACACACACACACACACACACACTCGTGGAGGAGTCACGAGGTTTGAGCTCGTGTTTTGGTGGTAATTTCTGACTGTGCCATAAGGAATAGTGTGTGGGATATAGGCGTGTGCATGCATAAGAGTGCATATAATCACTTAAGCCCCTCAAAAAGGAAATATAAGTGATCACAGAAAAGAAAACAAAGGAAATAGTGACTAAGTGTTTAGTGGGGGCCGTTGGAAGGGTGAACGGTTGTGTCAGGCCTAAATAGTGTTGCCATAATAACTTAGTGGGGTATTTTGAAGAATAAGTGCGACTCAAGACCAGGGAGATAAGAGATATGTATAGATGTGTCAGTAAATACAGTGAGTGAAAAAATTAGATGAGCTAGAGACCACAGTGCCTACAGGAAGTTAGTGGAAAAATTACCGAGAAGCATCAAGCATTTTCATACTGGGACCCAGGACGACATTACTCCACTGCCAGCCGCAAGTAATATTCACCTAGTTTGAGTTGCATGGGGTCAGCACCAGTCTCTAGCTGGAAATTGGGGGTCACTCTCCTCGAGCTATCAGAATTAGAATAAGCAGCATTTACTGGCATTTAATAGAATTTATTGAGGTTTAGGAGTTAAGCAGTTAATGATAGATAGCCTAGTATGAGAGGTAGCCTAGCGAAGCCTAGCATACAGAATTGAACGTAATTTTAGGCACAAGATAGTACAGTGGGAACCAAGAGATTGGGTACATATGCAAAACATATGTAGTACATACGAGGGAAATAAGGACTGCTTACATAAAAGCACGCATACACACACACACACGCACACTAGGTGAGAACAGGATCTACTGTTAGGCACTTGAATAGCTGTAGCACACACACACACACACACACACACACACACACACACACACACACACACACACACACACACACACACACACACAGGTCCTAGGACCTGTGCTGTTCTTGGTATATGTGAATGACATAACGGAAGGGATTGACTCAGAAGTGTCCTTGTTTGCGGACGATGTGAAGTTAATGAGAAGAATCAAATCGGATGAGGATCAGGCAGGACTACAAAGAGACCTGGACAGGCTACAAGCCTGGTCCAGCAACTGGCTCCTTGAGTTTAACCCTGCCAAATGCAAAGTCATGAAGATTGGGGAAGGGCAAAGAAGACCGCAGACACAATATAGTTTAGACGGCCAAAGTCTGCAAACCTCACTCAAGGAAAAAGATCTGGGGGTGAGTATAACACCGAGCATATCTCCCGAGGTGCACATCAGTCAGATAACTGCTGCAGCATACGGGCGCCTGGCAAACCTACGGATAGCGTTCCGATACCTCAGTAAGGATTCGTTCAAGACTCTGTATACCATTTACGTCAGGCCCATACTGGAGTATGCAGCACCAGTTTGGAATCCACACCTAGTCAAACACGTCAGAAATTAGAGAAAGTGCAAAGGTTTGCAACAAGACTAGTCCCAGAGCTACGGGGATTGTCCTACGAAGAAAGGTTGAGGGAAATCGGCCTGACGACACTGGAGGCAAGGAGGGTCAGGGGAGACATGATAACGACATATAAAATACTGCGCGGAATAGACGAGGTGGACAAAGACGGGATGTTCCAGAGATGGGACACAGACACAAGAGGTCACAATTGGAAGTTGAAGACTCAGATGAATCAAAGGGATGTTAGGAAGTATTTCTTCAGTCATAGAGTAGTCAGGCCGTGGAATAGCCTAGAAAGTGAAGTAGTGGAGGCGGGAACCATACATAGTTTTAAGGCGAGGTATGATAAAGCTCATGGAGCAGGGAGAGAGAGGACCTAGTAGCAGTCAGTGAAGAGGCGGGGCCAGGAGCTATGAATCGACCCCTGCAACCACAAATAGGTGAGTACAAATAGGTGAGTACACGGAAGTTGAAGACACAGATGAGCCAGAGAGATATTAGGAAGTATTTCTTCAGTCATAGAGTTGTCAGGCAGTGGAATAGCCTAGAAAATGACTTAGTGGAGGCAGGAACCATACACAGTTTTAAGACGAGGTTTGATAAAGCTCATGGAGCGGGGAGAGAGAGGGCCCAGTAGCAACCGGTGAAGAGGCGGGGCCAGGAGCTAAGACTCGACCCCTGCAACCACAAATAGGTGAGTACACGAAAGGTTGAGGGAAATCGGACTGACGACACTGGAGGACAGAAGGGTCAGGGGAGACATGATAACGACATACAAGATACTGCGGGGAATAGACAAGGTGGACAGAGATAGGATGTTCCAGAGAGGGGACACAGAAACAAGGAGTCACAACTGGAAGCTGAAGACTCGGACGAGTCACAGGGACGTTAGGAAGTATTTCTTCAGTCATAGAGTTGTCAGCAAGTGGAATAGCCTAGCAAGTGAAGTAGTGGAGGCAGGAACCATACATAGTTTTAAGAAGAGGTATGACAAAGCTCAGGAAGCAGAGAGGGAGAGGACCTAGTAGCGATCAGTGAAGAGGCGGGGCCAGGAGCTGAGTCTCGACCCCTGCAACCACAATTAGGTGAGTACAGTGAAGAGGCGGGGCCAGGAGCTGAGTCTCGAGCCCCTGCAACCACAATTAGGTGAGAACAATTAGGTGAGTACACACATACACGCATGTCAATTTGGAGACCTAGTAGAAGTTTAAATGGAATAAAATTTAATATACGAATTTAAGATGGGGCAGAATGACGAAGGACAAGAACTCAAAAAACGTGGGATGAATTAGCATATTAAAGTGTATATTGTGGATGGGACAATAGGGATAGAGAGGCTTGTCAAGAAAATGGTGACAAGGTATCAAGTTTATCTTGGTCTGCCTTAAAAAAAAAGGAACGCACTCATGACCTCTCCTCCTTCCAGTCCAAAAGGACCTGATGGATGACCAAATTGCTCACCTGGTCACGAAAGGGCAGACTACTGAAGGAAGGAAGATTCTTAGCCCATTTGACGGCCATGAAAAGTAGTCTGGCTGCCGTCTCCTGCACTGACTCCTGTAGTGGGTCCCACAGGGGCGCTGTATCCACGTAAGAGGTCCCTGACGAGGACGAAGACGAACATGAGGACACAGGTGGCATGTGTGGGCCTATTGGCCCTGTATCATCGCTGCTACCACCTGTTACATCCACTGGCGAGTCCACACTACGAACTCCTGGAGGGCAAGAAATATGTGTATTTGTCTTCGTCGTGAGAGGCGACTGAAAACAGTAATAAGTTATGACTTGACACCGTAATAATACGACGGCAAACAAATCACATAACTTGTGGGGTTCGAAGCTATGACAAGTTTAGTGGTTAGTACACTGTCCTGAGAGTTTAGTGACCTGCTTGCCACGAGTTCGGGCCCCACCTGTTTTGTGATATGTAATAAGTTTATTGCAATTCAATGATGTAAACAGACGCTCCCCGAAGGGTAATATTGGAAGGAAATATTTTTAAACGAATCGAGTACAGACAGGCCCCACTTTACAGCACTTGGCTTTGCAGCATTTCGCTAATGCTGTTTTCAGTTATACCAATTCTTCATTTATTCAGACTTCCTACAATAAATGTATTCACCGTTCACTATAAGATAAGGCCTAGCTCTATCGCTCACTTAATATATGATAGTGTAAACATATTACCAAGTTTTTACATGCATTTAAAAGTGAAAAAAAAATATGTTTCACTTTACAGCAGTAGCATGGAACGTAACCTGATGTACACAGTAGTGCACAAATTAATTGGGACAGGAGTAAATTTTGTGATTATTTCAAAATATGTCTTAGTTTCCGGCTTAATGTAGATGGGGTTCTTTTGAGAAAAGTTTGCTACCGACTTCTGGCAACCATCTAGCTGTGGTGTTGCCCTGCGACTCTCGTCAGTGCTACAGCAGCTGTTGTTCTGTAAGGCTATTCCAGCAAGCGTGATCCATGAGTGATTGTGGTTTTTGCCAAATTCCTCCCTTCAGTTTATGATTACTGCTTACATGATGTATGCTCAGAATAAACAATTATCTCAGTGACCTTGGAATCAAGTGCCAACTTTTCCCGAGTTTAAATAACTTGAAAAATATGGATAACAATAATAATAATAATAATAGAAAGGTAATTACAATTAGGTTTTACCTGGATACCTGGAGAGTTTACCTGGAGAGAGTTCCGGGGGTCAACGCCCCCGCGGCCCGGTCTGTGACCAGGCCTCCTTAGGTCAGTGTCCCAGGATGCGACCCACACCAGTCGACTAACACCACAGGTGATTAGACTTAGGTAATTACACCTGGATGACTACGACTATGATATTATAAGGTGATTAAAACCATCTGATTACAACAAGGTGATAATGTGAAGGTAATCAGGCAATTAAAATGAGGTAATTACAACTAATGGATTACAATTATGAGACAAAAAAAGGAGATTTAGGCGATTAAAAATAGGTAATTAAAGCAGATAAAAGGCAGGTGATTGCAATTTGATAACAACTCGGTAATAACCACAAGAAAATTACCATAGGGTGATTACACACCCATACTAAACCTTGTGTTACTAGTACTTACCTATTTGTGACTGCAGGGGTCGATTCACAGCTCCTGGTCCCTCCTCTTCACTACCAGGTCCACTCTCTCCCTGCTCCAAGAGCCTTATCGTACTTCTTAAAGTTATATATGGATCCTGCCTCCACTAC